GGTGGAAGGAGAGGAGGACAAGGGAGGGAGGAAGGAGGGGGAGGAAATAAGTGTGGCAGTATCAGAAACTGGAGGAGATATGAGAGAGGTACAGAGGTTCAGGAAATAGAGTAAAAATAGGTAGCAGGATAGATGAGGAACTGGGGATAGCCACTGGAGTGTCTCAGACACCAGAGAAATGTGAGGCTCCCAGGACCCAACGGGATTGACTTTAGCAGCAATGTGCAGAGAAGGGGGAATAGAATCTGTGGAGACTACCTCCAGTAGATAAGCACAGACCCTGGTCGATGGATGGGGCCACCCACCCAGCTCAAAGTTTTTTAACTCAGAAATGTTCCTGTCCAAAGGAAGAACAGGGACAAAAAATGGAACAGAGACTGAAGGAGGTGTCAACTGGGAATCCCATCTGAGGGTACATCATGTCTGCAGACACCAAACCCAACATTGTTGCCATGGTCAAGAAGCACTTGTGGACAGGAAACACGTGTGGCAGTTCCTGGGGAGGTCTTGCCAGCGACTGACCAATGCAGATGCGGATGCTTGGAGCCAACCATCAGGCTGAACTCAGGGAACCTTGTGGGGAGCTGGCAGAAGGACTGGGGGAGCAGAGGGGGATTGTAACCCCATTGGAAGAATAACATAGGCTGGCCTGACTACCTGGTTCTCCCAAAGTGTCGACCACCAACCAAGGAGTGTACCTGGAGGGATCCATGGCTCCAGATACATGTGTAGCAGAGGATGGTCTTGCCCGGCAGCAACTAGAGGGGAGGCCGTTGGTCCTGAGAGGTTTGATGCCCTAGAGTAAGATTTCTGCCTTAAAAATAGAAGTGTGTAATTGTGGAAAGAATAAATTTAAAGGAGTTGAGGTCCAGAGTTGCAAGCAGTGAGGTAAATGGAAAGCCCCAGGAAAAAGCAAGGTCATGGTCAAATGTTCTTTGGATTTTATGATGCATTAAAATATTAACTTAGAAATTTTTAATAAAAATTGTGGTTTATAATAGATTATAGTAAACCAAGGCACATGCACACACACACACACACACACACACACACAGTACATGTAAGGATAAAGTCAAATTGTTTTGCAAATGTTATATATTATGAATATATGCATATTTTATGCACACATATACTCACATATAAATATATATGATTATATATGTATATATATGTTTGCATATGCATATCCCTGATGAGTTTTTACTAATGTATTTCTATATTTAATAAAATGATTTTTAATGTTTCATAAAATCTTAAAATTCTACCTTTGGATATGAAAACAAGCATTTTTAAAGTCATAGGACACATGCTTCATTAACCCACAATATTTAAGATTGAATATACAAATGTTCATTAAAATTTCTTCAAAAATAATTTTATTGCATTTTTGATTAAATAAGTTTAACCTTCATGAAAATATATTATTAGATATACATAAAATGATGAACATATATGTTTGTAAAACATCTTAGGTTATATATCATTTTCATTTTCAAAAGTATAGGAAATACATTCTCAAGAAATATTAAGGTTCAGAATGGAGGTAATCTCACTCTTTCATTAATACAAATGGCTATGTCAGTAAGTCTTTTTTAATAATAATGACTAACATCTTACATTTTAAGATAAAGTCTATTCTATATTTACGACATTAAAACACAAACGTATTGTTTCTGTCCAGTGAATTCCTCTTCAGAATACTAGTCTTTCAAGGTTCATATCAATCATAATTTAAAGTAAAGAAATCATTTTAAAGCCCTAAAGTCTCATCAAAAGTAGGTTAAGG